CCCTGTCTTGAAATAAAAGATAAATAAGAGGGCTGGGGATGCAGCTCAGTTTGATGGCCTTGAGTTCAATCCTCAGTATTGCAGGGGGTGGGGGAGGGGAGGGGAGGGGAGGAGCAGAGAGGAGAGGAGAGATGAGAAGAGGAGGAGAAAAAAATTCTAGGACCATTGACTCACTTGCCTACCCCATATAAATAGAATTCTGTGATGTTTGTCCTTTGTGCCTGTCTTATTTCACTTAGTATAATGTATTTAAGATCCATCTATGTTGTAGCATGTGTAAAATTTCATTCCCTTTTATGACTGGCTAATACTCGATTGCATGCCAAGACTACATATCATTTTATTCACCTGTTGAAGGACACATTTTTGCTGGTGTAAATAAGGCTGCTGTGCACATGGATGTGCTAATGTCTCTGATGTTTACTATTTTTGTAATTTAAAAAATAAATAACTTTTGGGGCCGGGGATTTAGCTCAGTGGTTCCGCCACTTGCCTTGCAAGTGCAAGGACCTGAGTTCGATCCCCAGTACCCCCCCCCAAAAATAAATAAATAAAAATAAATAAATAAATACCTTTTTAAAAAGCAGATGCTCACATAGATAAGAAAAATATTCAATGGGCCGGGGATTTAGCTCAGTGGTTTCGGCTCCCTGCTGCGCAAGTGCAAGGACCCGAGTTTGATCCCCGGTGCCAAACAAAACAAAACAAAACAAAAAAAGAAAAATATTCAATAACGAGACAAGGAAATGATAGTGAAAATGATAGGCTTAAAGGTCACTGCAGTTGTCATAAGGTCCAAGAGTGCCTGCCACTCACTTCGGGAGGGCAGGGGCCAGCTTTGTAGCTTTGTTCCCTACACCACCCACATCCAACACCGCGTGTGTCTTCCCATAGGTGCTCAGTGTACATGAACTACAACTCGTCCTAAAGGAATGACGGGATCAGAACACTGAGGCAAGGGACAAGTCTTCCTGAAGGAAACAAAAGAATTCATGAAACCAGAGCCCTGGTGACAGCAGAGGACTTGGCACTAATCACTCACATGACCTTGGGCCTCAATTTCTGTAGTTTTATGAAGCCACTGCCCATTTCATATTGTCACAAGATTATTGCCAAAATTCTCCATTCATTCAGTCAGTCAACAAATACTACATACTTCTCATGCTCCAGGGTTCGATCAAATTCAAAGTTAGAAAATTCCATTTGGTAAGCATTGCTTGTCTTTTCATGTGGTATTATTTTGTGTCCTACTTTGTATTATTTTATTTGATTTGTTCTACACTGAAAGCACTTTGTTTAAGTCTTTCGTTTTAAAGCAAAGAACGGAAAAAGAAAAAGTATTCAGCATTCTACTTGGAACAGGACTTTTTTCCCTTCCAGTGCTCTATAAACCAGGTTGTCTCCCATCCTCTGCAGGAGACGCCTCAGGGGTAGGAGCTTCTGAGCACAGCTCCACTCTCTGAAGAACCTGGCAGCTTTTCTGATCCCTCACAGACACCTCCAGCTGCAAGAAGTTAATGAGGTGTGTGGGACAGTGATGGGAAGGGGTCAGGCTTGACATCACTCCTGACACCACCACCAAGTGAGGCCTAGCTATAGGGTAAGAGACGTGGACCAGAAAGCTATCTCTACTTCATTAGCCAGTGTTTCTGAACGTGTGGAAACAGGCCAAGGTCCAGCCTATACACTGTGACAGAACATTCCTACGACACAGAGGGGTCCGAGCAAAGGCCAGCGCCACAGCAGAAGCACTGCCTCTGTCCAGTGGATGAGGAGAGGACATTTTTCCTGTTCCCTTTGACCCTCTCTTTCTTTCTCTTCTTTTCTATTTTCCTTCATTTATTTCATTTTTCTTCCTTCTCTTCTTCCCTTTTTATCTTTCTTCCTTTAAAGAAATTATTATGTGGGAGGCCCCAGTTCAATCCCCAATATCACAAAAAAATCATTTTATTTCTTTTATCTCTTTTCTGTTATCCTCTTCTTCCATTTTTTCTTTCTCTCATCCTATACAGTGGTAACTTGGTTCACCAGTGCTTTTGTTTGCAAATAATTTAGTTCACAAACAGAAGCATTTGGCAAAACTTTGTCTTTGCAAACTCTGCATGGGGTGATAAACATAACTGTATTCATCTTTTCCAAAATCATGGAACTAATTAAGTTCGCAAATCGAGGTACTGCAGTACCTCTAATCAATTTCCCCATACTTTTTTCCAAATTTTAGAAAATTCCCAAAAGGTAGCTGTCTGGAGGCCTCTAAACGTATTTCTGTTTATCCAAAAGTAAAATAAAAGTTAGTACTTTCTTCCTTGAGAACTGGGGTCCCCAAGTCGGGGTGTGCAAGATGATATATGGAAGGGACAGGAAGAGGATCTTAGCACTTGTCTGCATATTCATGTTAACCGTACATTTTTATTTTTGTGTTAATTTTGTAATGGACATAGAATGTTAGTTTGTGGTACATGTTATAATTAATGCAAATAATGGGAATGAGGTGCTTACATTATTTTTCTTTTTTAATTATACTGCACCTATTTGACCATCACCTACCTCCTGCCTGCAGAAGCGCAAAGGCTCCCTGGAGGGTCTCCAGCAAACAGCCTGCTGGGTCACTCGCTCTCTGGGTGTGCCACCTTGGCCAATCACCACCATCACAGCTAGGAATTATTAGGAGCTTATTGACAGCCAGCCTTCTAATCGCTTGACATGTATCAAGTCATTTACTCATTACAACCTCCCTATTAAGTAATCCCATCTCTGTCCCCACTTTAAATACTGGTACCTTGAGGTATGGGAAGTTTGAACAAATTACTCATACACAGTTATTGAATCCAAAGTTTGAATCCCAGCATTCTGACTCCAGGAAAAAGGAAAAATTAGAGAATATTTAACCACTGAATCATTTTAATTTTGTAAAATTGAGATAATGAGAGTCAACTTCAAATAATTATAAGGATTGAATAAGATAATGGTGTAAGTCTTAGCACAGCGGTGTAAGCATCCAATAAATAGCTACTACTAGTTATTGATGTCATAAGCATTCTCTAAAAAATACATTTTAAAACACACACCTCCTTAAAAACTTTCAATGATTCCTCTCTGCCAAAGGAGAGATGTTCAGACCTGAAGACCAGGCATTTAATTCTGCTCAGCAACAGCCCTGTCATGACTTTCTGTTGTCACCTGTCTATTGTGGACAGTAATGCCTGCCATGCCTTCTTCACGGGACTATTTTGAGGACTGAAGGAAAGGAGGAAGCTCTCTGTACATCATAAATCTCTGTACCAATACACTTCTTTACATATCAGATACCTCCTCTGACAGGAGAGACTTTGAAATCTCCCCCCCCACGTGTGTGTGTGGGTGGGTGGGTGGGTGGGTGTGTATAAGTCTAGGGTGACTGCTCAGAGTGCTTTCTGGATGTTTCCCCTTCTGTCTAGCTGGGTAGAGGGCTTGGAAGGTACAAAAGCACAGAAGCTGGCCACTTAACGTGGATCAGGGGGTCCTCAGTCCAAGTCCCAGGCTCCAATTCTTAACCATTTTTGGGCTCTTAGGTCAATACATTTTCTTTAAAAAAAATTTTTTTTTGGTTAATGTACTGAGGAGTAATATGCCAAGGCCTTACACATGCTAGACAACCACTCTACCACTGAGCTACATCCCCAACTCTTTTTTATTTTATTTTGAGACAAGTTCTCATTACGTAGTCCAGGTAGACCTGAAACTTGTGATCCTCCTGCCTCAGCCTCCAGAGTAACTGGAATTACAAGTGTGCTCCACAACACTAGGCTTCCTTACCATCTTGGAACTTCCATTTCCTCACCATTAAAGTGAGGATGATAGGGCCTGCCTTATGGGTTTGTGAAGAGGAAAAGAAGGAAGCATGCAATTATTGGGTGTGACAATAATGCTTATTTTAATATTAATCTGAAAACAGATTGCAAGAAATTTTAGGAAACATTATTTCTTTTTTTCCCTAAGATGTATAACCTAGCCCATATCGTTTATTTAGTAGACATTCATGTAATACCTACTTACCCTGAGCTTACCATTTATTCAATAAACATTCTTGGATCACCTACTGTGCACAGGGCCCACTACCCACTTTTCATGGGTGTTGCAAAGGAAGGAAAAGCAGGAGGTATTGTTCTGGAACGAAGGCTTCCATGCTAGGTGTAGTATTTATTAGTTTAATATCATACTAGATCATTCATTCATTTTTAATTTAATCTTTTACAAGCTACTGGAAACACCCTATGTTAAATATGACCCAGCAGAAGGATGTGGGTTATTGGATCAAAAGGAAAGGAATCTTCTTTACTGTTAGGAGTTTCCCTGGCAAAGGCCATTTAATAGCAGCATGTTGGGGAAATAAAGGCTCAGAGCTGGAAGGGATTTCTAGAAAGGAAGCCAATGGCTGAAATGAGTGGGATTTGCTATCTTCCTGTATCCATTTGTTATTCTCTCACAGAGCTTCCCAAAGGGCTTCAGACAGAGTGAACATTTGGGAGCTTTGGTAATAAACTTACCCCACAAGCTATGCATTAAAGAATGGCGGAGCAGAAAGGAGGGGACCCTTAACCCATGTGCTATGATTAGCAAGAACTTAATTTGTTCCCAGCTTGTGTTGACACCATGCAAAGTGCTTTTCTGTATTAATTCATTTAACTCTCTCAACAAACCTATGTGGCATAAGGCCCATTGTTATCAACATTTACATATGTTCATAATATAAAGGCTTAAAAAAATGAGGTAATTGTCCAAAGTCAAACTCCATATCCTCAGAAAGTTACTGCTATTCCTGATTCCAAAGCCAGGATTTCCCTAGTCCCCTGTGTTATATCTCTTGGGAAGGTCATTTTCCTCCCAAAATGAAGAATCTGCTTCCTCATCCCAAAAGAGAAGTCAGATGACTTCTAAGGTCTCATTTGGATCTTCAGATTTTGACCTGGATACGTGTTTCATCCAAGGTTGACAAACTGGACCAAATCCAGCCAGCCAAATGTTTTTATCCATAAAGTTTTATTGGAATACAGCCACACACATTTTTGTATTGTCTACAATAGCAAAGTGAATAGTTGGCACAGAGATTTTCTGGCCCACAAAGCCTAAAATATTTATTATCTAGCCCCTTTACAGAAAAAAGTTTGCTGGTTCCTGGGATATACTAGTGCATAGATTTTAACGGCAATCAATTATATGTGGTGAATAGAAAAGATTCTGGAGGGCCATGTATTAACTGTAAACAGTTGAAGGTGTGAGAAGGTGACTTCTGCTGCTTACATTTTATACTTTGGACTTGTTTTAAAATTACTTTTACTAAGTTATAGCTTACATGCAGCAATATCCACAAATCCTACATGTAAAGACTCGACATATCCCCCATCCTGATTAAAACTAAGAACCTTTCTAGCACTCCAGAAACTTCTACCACTGTAGATTACTCTTCCTTCTTTTAAAATTCCTATGAATGCGATCACATGGTACATATCCTTTTGTGTCTGGGGAAAAATATTATTTTTAGACTAGAATTTCACTGCTGACAATTGAGAAAATCTGACAAGTATAAATAAGGAAACAAAAAAATCATCCTTAACAGTATAATCCAGAGTATTCACTTCTTCATTTATTCAACAAGTATTTTGTTAAGCATCTACTGTATATCAGCACCACTCCGGGCACTGTAGAGCAAGACATGAGAAGGTCCCTAGCCCTTGTGCACCTTTACAGTCTGTAGTGTATTTTTTCATGGGCTAGTCAAATATCTCATGTCCACCACTACTCAGAGATTTGTCCTGAGCTCTTGGACCATCTGGCCAAAGACCTGGAAGTGGGAACCCCAGTAATTTAAGACCTTTTAGTCATTTCAAATAATAGGAAAGTTCGAGGCCTTAAATGCTTGTCCAAACCAACTGGTCATTTTGCAAAACCAAAATCAGAGGCCCGGAGGAGGTGCTCACCAAAGCCTTTGGTAGGTGAAGAATCATCCAGAAAGGAGTATTATAGCCAGAATTAGAATCTCAGGCTCCTGACCTTGGAGTCTAGAATATTCTATGGGTTTCAACACTTTTTCCTATCAGTAAGCTCTCCAATCACCTTCAGACCAGAATAGAATGATATTTATGTTTTATTCTAGAGATAATTGCACTTGGAGCCCTGCTAGTCACTGCCAAATCGATGGGAAGCCTTAGAGAGTGGAACAGCCGAGGTTGGAAAGACCAGGCAGGGTCTCCCTTCTGTAAACAAAGAAAGTTAAACATGGAAAGTGGTAACGGTGGTAGGAGGGGAGACTGTGTAAGCAACTGAAGAAAATAAATTACAGAGGAAGTGAGTTCACCATTTGGTAAAATTACCAACATGATGCTTGGAAAACCTTCATAAAGTGATATGCCAAATGGATTTCAAATGATTTCATACCGGGGACCACATCTCCCTTAGAAAATCTTGGAATCTGACTCCAAATTCATTGGTAGAAGTGCCTAATACTGTCTCTTCAAATTCAGTAACTCTTGAAAACAACTTGGGAATATAAAAGCCCAAAGAGATGAGTTAGTTGCCTCACTACGCAGCATGATTTCATGGTGTCTTTTTTTTTCTAAATATATAAGAGCCTGCCATACTCCAGGAACTTGCAATTGCTAATGCATTTGATTTTCACAAAAACACAATACACCATCATTATCCTTTAGCACATTTAGGTCTGCTTGACTCCAAAGCCAGCCTGCCCTCTGTTTTCAACTGTGTATTCTCCCCCTGCCCCCAAAGAATCTCCCTTTCAACTCTCACCTCCCAGCACAATGAAAGCTAGGGACCCTCCTCTTTCATCCTAAAGCCCGGCTCCAAATAGCACTCCCATTAACTTACTCCAGTGGCTACAAGCAACCTCTCTGTGGACTCTCCATGCATGCTAGGCAAACATTCTACCACTGAGCTACATTCCTAGCACTTTTCATTTTATTTTGAGACAGAGTGTGGTTAAGTTGTCCAGAATGATTTTCCTGCCTCAGCCTCCCTAACTACAGTGCCCCGCTTATTTTCCCATCTTTAACATGAGGCTACTACCTCAATCTATCCTCAGTTTATCCCATGTGTAGTGTAAGCAAAGATTATTGCAGACATACTAAGTCTTCCTCTATTGGAGAAGGAGGTTTCACTGAGGAGTTTCAAGAATTAACTCATTTAGATGCTAATATCCAAGACCTACACCCTAAAGGATGCACTGTTAGTTACTTATTCTTTTTAAGATATCTTTAGGGTAGATACTGAATCTGTTCACAGTCATTGTGACTACTTGATGACCACCTACTATAGCACCGAGTGACAAACACAAGGTAGGTATGGGGAAGGGGATTACAGGAAGTTTCTGAATATGAATGGCAAGATTACTTGGAAGACATAACTGGACACTCATAGGAATTGTCAACTGTATTCTGTGTGTAATTTCTGTACCTTTATTTGGGTGGCTGAGGTTTTGGGAAGAATGGGATTGTCGGTCCCTGAATTTTGAGAGAAAAGGAGGCTTGGAAGTCCAAGGGGTTACTCAGTAGTTAGAACTACAAAACAAAGCTGTGTTGTTAAAAGAGAAACTGATTGGCCCAGGATTTAGCTCAGTGGTGCCGATGCTGCCTGGCTCGAAAGTGCAAGGTCCTGAGTTCGATCCCTGGTACCACAAAAAAGAGAAAGAGGGTGGGGGAAGAAACTCATCTACATTACACTTGATGCTTCTATAATGAGAGAGAGAGAGAGAGAGAGAGAGAGAGAGAGAGAGAGAGAGATTGTCCTCCAAGGACATTTACTCTGAACATGTCATCCTGCCTGAGAGGAGCTGGGGAGACAGAGAACATTACAGTAGACAAGCATCTGCTATATGTCACAATAAGCTAGAAAACGAGGTGGAATGAAGGGCCCTCATTCCTGTGGACTTATTACCCCTTTCTCAGGGAAGAGGGACTGAGATAGGTGTAAACCTTCCCCAGGGGTCTATGCACACGACTACCTCTTTTCTTCCTGGCTCCCAAGACAGGTGGCCCAGGCATCTGTTGTCCACTTTGTATTTTAAAAAGGCATCCTCACCCCCTTAACACCCTGAGTTGGATCAACCACATCATCAGCTTTCATACACTCAGGATGTTTGATTCTGTACCTGTTTGGAAGGTTGCTGGACCCTTCCTCATCCGTGCTAAAATTCCTCTCTTATCCCTAGCTTAAATTCAAGTTTCTCCTAATTATCTTTGAAGGTGGGAGAGAAAGGAGAATATATTTGGAAGCTCCTTTGCAATTTTCCTGCTGATGCTTAATTTTTGTCCCTAATTGCTCAGTCCTTCCCATCCCCACTGTAGCTCTCCCCAATTCTTAGAACTCTAAGCTTCCAGAAGTGCTAGAGTTTCACTGGCCTACTGCCTTCCCAGACTGGAAAGTGTGCACACTATTTTTAGAACGAGGTGGTCTTATTGAATGTATACAACTCTGCTGCCCTGCACCTATCAGGAGCTTTTTTCACAGATAAGGAAACTGTGGGTCCAAGGCAAGTGTCCTCTGCCCCAGGAGTCAGTGAATGCTGGACCCTCAGGAGCCCCTTCCCCGGTTCTGCAAGTCAGGTCCCAGCCTGTAGGTTTGGGTGAGTTGGGTGCCTCCTTCCTCCCCCTCGGCGCCCCAGGGGAGTTGCGGTAGAAACTCTTGCAGTGCTGAGGGGCCCAGGGCTTCCTTCCCGGCCAGGTCTGGGTGGGGAAAACCTCTTTCCTTCAGTGATTTTGTCGGTGCCTTCTCCGCTTGGCATGCACTAGAGCAGTGACCTTGCAGTTGCACAACGTGTCTCAGGCCGTGGGCGTGTGCTGCGAGGGTCCTGGAACTGCGAACAAACCAGAAGTGAGTGAGCCCCGGGACGCGCAGCTCAGCTATTCATTCAGCTACAGCCCGAGCTTCACTTTCACTCCTAGAAAGGAGTCCTCACCGTCCTAGTTTTGCTGCCAAAGTGGAGGCGCTTTGATATTCCGGTTATAAACAGGAGGTCGGCACCCAGGCGTCCAGCTCTGGCTGCTACGGGGACCTCCGCTTCGGCTACTCCCTCTGGTCATAAATCAGTCGGTAACTCCTTCACCCTTGCCCACGCTATCGCGGCCCACAGTCCTGCAAATCCAACAGGGAGGGATTGGGCCTAACGAGCAGTAACCGAGGTAGAAATAAATGGGGTCCCTTCCATCCACACTCATTCCTCCTAAGACCCCCGCCACCTTCCCCCTGGCCTCCGCGCTGAAGCCCAGGAGGACAGTTTCGCCTCCACCCCGCTGGTTCTCCGGATTTACCACCTGTGCACGCCTTGGAAGTTCTGTACTTTTCGCATCCTCCTCCATCTTTTTCCAAGAGCACTTCGATTTTCTCCCGCTCTCATCTGAACCCCAGAAGCGCAGTTTCTTCTTTCAGGCCAGTGGAAAAATCCCCGCACCTAGGCTAGAAGCCACTTGCTTTAACAAGTCCAAAGGTCAGCTAAAGTTTAGCTGATAAACAGAACCCGCAAAAGAAGGTCTTCAGCCCCGCAGCGTGAGTACAATAGGCCCTGGCAAGCCCCGCTCCTGGCCCGGGTCTCCGGCTCCCCACGACTGCCCCTTGGGCTTTCTCTCTCTCGGTTTTCCCCCCTCCCCACCACCATTTGCATCTTGCCGAAAGCGGGGCCCTTCCCACTAATTTGCATATCTTATATGGCCTAATGGTGGCGATCATGGCAAGTTAGAAATTTTCTGACTCCTCTAGGAGGAGGCTCCGGGACCCCGGGGAGTAACAAGTGTCTGGAGGCTGAAGGGTGGAGGGGTTTCAGCACTTGGGGTTCTCTTGTGAAACTCCCCTCCACCCTCCTCTCTCTCACCCACCCACCCCCTTATCCCCTTCTCTTTCCGTCCTTGGAAAATGGTGTCCAAGCTCACGTCGCTCCAGCAAGAACTCCTGAGCGCCCTGCTGAGCTCTGGGGTCACCAAGGAGGTGCTGGTCCAGGCCTTGGAAGACTTACTGCCATCCCCGAACTTCGGGGTGAAACTGGAGACTCTGCCCCTGTCCCCCGGGAGCGGGACCGATCCGGACACCAAGCCGGTCTTCCATACTCTCACCAACGGCCACGCTAAGGGCCGCTTGTCCGGGGACGAGGGCTCCGAGGACGGCGACGACTATGACACCCCTCCCATCCTCAAGGAGCTGCAGGCGCTCAACACCGAGGAGGCAGCTGAGCAGCGGGCGGAGGTGGACCGGATGCTCAGGTAGGCAGCGAGCGCCGTGCAGAGCGCGCGCAGGAGCCTCTGGAGCCCGGGCCCCGCGCAGGAACGACACTGTGCCCACCTGCCACAAGCCCGTTTGCCACTCGAGAAGTCCCCCGGGAGGCGCTGTGCTTCTCTCCCAACACCTGGACCCTTCCCAGACCCCCAGTCAGGTCACCCTGGGCCCGAAGCCCCAGGCCAGCGTCCAGGACCCTAGGGCCTTCCCCATGGGGCTGGGGCTCGGCCCAGGAGAGCTAGAGGCGCTGAGCCTTTCGCCTGAGGTTTGCCCCAGAGACTGAAGGCACGAGTGGGTGCAGTGAAATCGCTGCGATTGACAGGGAGCAGAAGCTCGAGTCCCGCAAGCCTCAGGCCGCGCTACCTGGGGTCAGGAAAGCCGCGGGCCGGGCTCTGGCACAGCGACCCGCCGGACTTTGCCGAGGGACCGGCAGCGAGTACCTGGGGCTGGGATCTGGTGGGCGCTTCCATCTGCGGCGCCCAAGCAGGACTCGGAATTATCTCGAATTCTGAAAGCCGTTTTTAGATTTGTAAAGGGGAACTTTTGCTTGTGCGGTCAGGGTGGACCCGCGCGGGGCAAAATAAACCACGAAGCTAAGCAAGCGGGGGTGGGTTAGGATAAATCCAGCTAAGAACCCATTCGCGAAGGATTTGGTCTGAATCTGCGAAAGGAGGCGCGCACGCACCTTGCCGCCGACACCTAGGCGTCCCCGGGGGAATTCGGGCAACCGGACCTTCTCGCCCCGGCGGCCGGGATCCTCCGGGTGCTCACCGACCGGCCTACGCTTTGACAGCTAGTTACTAATTATCCAATGAGCCCAGAGGTTCTGTGACCGCACCTCGCTCCTAGGACACAGGGTTTTAGGAAGGAGCTTCTCGCTTGTCCCCCAGTACTTAAGCGCTGCAATTTCAAGGTTTCAGAGTCCAGGACTGAAGTTGCTCCAGGCCTGGCCACGCGCTCGCAGTGCCTGTTCAGGGTGGAATGTGACCTTGCTTTTGAATTTGCGCCCTGGGAACTCGGTGGTTTATCCTCTGGACAACAAAATCGGGAGGATTTCTAGTCGTCCCCCCCACCCCGGGTTTTGCTGTAATTCATAGACTTGAGGTTCTTCCCTCGCCCTTTCCCTACGTGGCGGTTATTGATCCCGGCCAGGGTTAGGGGACAGCAAGGTGTGGGTCGCCGAGGCTGAGAGGAGTCCCAGGAGAAGCTCCTCGGAGCGCTGGGGCTCCAGGGCGGCGCGGAGGTTGACCGGGACCTGGGAGCAGCCAGGCTCCCGGCCGCGCGGCGGGTCACCCAGGCCTAGGCCCTTCTGCCCGGCCCCTGGCTAGCGCGGCGCTCCGAGGATCTGGGGAGCTCGAGCAGACCTGGGCGCCCCTCCGCACCCGGCCCAGCAGCGCCCGGCGGGACGCAGCAGAGATGTAACATAAACTGCAGCACGTGGAGTTGGGGTGTTATTAATTTATTTCTATAAATCATCAACAGAAAGATACACAAAGGGCCGTGATTAGGTTGAAAAGAGAGGCGGGTTATTCATTGGCGAAGTTGTAAACGCGGCTTAGGAAGGGAAGGAAATCAAAACGTAGAAGCTGGGTAGCTCGCTGCCGCTCTCCCGGCGCACGCACTACGCTGCAGGGCGCCCCCCTCGCGTCCCCACCCCTCGACCCCGCGCTGCCCGAGGTCCCGGGGCCCCGCCGCCCAAACAGAGCTGCTTGAGAGCCCGAGCCGCCAGCAGAGCCCCAGGGCCGCCGACACCCGCAGGCCCAGCGGGTGCAAAGCCAGGCCCGGCCCGATCCGGTGTTTGGACCTCAGCCCTCTTCCCTTCCCAAAGTAGGGTGGGGAGGAGGATTAGGGAGGCCCAGGCCCTCGCCGGAATTAGGTTCACTGGACAGATCCTGAGGCTTTTCTCCCTTTCTCAAGCGGGTGTCCTCTTCACTCCCCCAACCTCGGGCGCGTCGGACTTAATTAAAGTAATTTTTCAAGAAATTGCTAGCGGTTCCCAGGTCATGGCACAGTCTGTTTCAGAGCGCCGGGCGTAAGCGCCCCCCCCTTCTTTTTTTTTTTTTTTTTTTCTTGTCCAGCCTATTCCCCTAAGGCGGAAAGAAAAGTCACTTTGTTGGAGTACCTGAACGCCCTTTACACCTCTAGAAGAGAAAGGCCAGGAAGCCAGGGTGGGAACTGCACTGCCGGGTGCTCTGCTGCGAGACTGGCCCGCGGGTGGCATTAGGAAAGTTGGCTGCTTCCTGACTCCAGAGCTGTGGCCTCTTCACCAACGCGCCTTGAGCTGTGCCGAGGCTTTTCCGCTCGTAGGCAACAAAGTCATTGTTTGCAAAGGAGCGTGTTGGCGGACATTGCAGGTCTGGCGCTTGACACCTGCGCTCAGAGCACTCGGAGCACAATGACCACGCGCGTTTATCCGGGTTGGGAACAGCTGAACGTGAGCTGTACTTAAAAATAATAATCACCTAACCAGCTCTGCGGTCCCTTCCCTAGGAAGATATGAGCATTCTGGAGGCAGAGAACTATAAAGGTGTAACTACGCCATCTTACCCCCCCCCCCCGTCTTTTAATTCGGATTTAAAGGTTTTGCCTTAGTTTATAAGGTTTTTGTGGACTTTTTTTTTTTTTAAACCGGCTCGATTGTTGAGCTAATTCACTTTTTCACCGAGCCATTCACACTTGGAACATTACATTATTTTGCTAGGTTTCTTAGGCACACAAAATGAACACAGGTAAACAAATTTAAACAAAAGACAAATGGCCAAAGAAACTGTTAAAGCAATATAGTATTAACTTTTAAAATCCAACTACTTTTTCCTAGCTCTTGAAGGTATTGTTCGTATCTGTTGAAAGCATTTTCCACCCTGAAAGTATCTTGGAAATATTCACCAGAAATAAGCTTTTAAATGATCTCTGATGTTTACATGACTATGTCTAAAATGTTCATTACCTTATTTCTCTCTTCCTCAAGGTGGAATTCATGTTTAAAATGGAAACGCATTTTCTCTGTTTTTGTTCTTGTTGTTACTTCATTATGTTGTATTACTTGGATATACTTTTATAAATACCTGAGAAATTCGTTATTAACTTATATGTAATTAATCTAAAATTTTTCATTTCTCAAAAACACCTCTTTCAAAAAAACCCCCACCTCTTTCAAAGCCTAGGTTCTTACAAATTTAATATCAAAGTCTTCTTAAAATAATCGCAACCGTTCAGATGCTTATAAAATGTTTGATTAATGGAGGTTTGACTCGTTAAACAAAATTTTATTTGCTGTAGACACTATTTAGAAATAAATCAGATGTTACACTGCAACATTTTATCTATGGTCTCTGCTTTAACACCAATTTTTATTATTTCATCTGAAACTAATTTTCCCTTCATTTTTATATCCTATCAAATATATATAATATATATATCTCAGCATACAATAAAGGCATGGTTTTTATAAATTTAAAATGTATAATATTTGTGAATGTATTGTTTCTTTATTACTTTTACCCTATACTGTGCCTTATTTTCTTAATTTAAATAACATTTCTCATTTTAAGTCACCTATTTAGTAAGCAAGAACAGATATTAGTAAAGTTGAGAACATTTTAAATGAACATCAAAGGCACTAATAAAAAGTTTTTTGCATACCTGTGATTATAAGAAATGAAAAGCCTAACCACATTCTTAGCCCAATCTTAAAATTTATAAGACACATTACCTTCCAGACTCCCTTGCCATATCAGGGGGAAAATGTAAGAATACAGGAACACAAGGTATTTGAGAGTGTTAATGTCTTACTGAAAAATTGAAATTACTGTCTTCCTTAGGTTTTATTTGGGAGGCAGAGCTGTGGATTTTTTTTTTTTTAACTTTACCTGCCTTGCAGGTGGTAGGATTCTTTAATCCCAGGGAGGAACGTCATTGTATTTGAAAACTTTTGTAAAATCTAAAAAGGGTTAAATATTTGACTATTAAATCCTCCTTGCTTCTCAGAAAATGGACACATATTTTACTCCTATTTTATAAGAAACTGATTCACTATTTCAGAAGGAAAATAATGTGGGTGAGGCTTAGACTGAAATTAAACTGATGGTACCGCCTGTCATAAGATCTGTCTGCCGGGTCTCACGTTCTTTCCAGTGGGCCTTGCCTTTTAAGTATCTTGAATTCCAGGAAAATGAAGGAAAGCAAAACAAAACAAGAGGCCCCCCCCACCCCCACCCCCCGCTTAATGAGACAGAGTTCTAGTGGTTCTTGTTCATCCCTGAAGATGAATGTCTTCTCTTCCCTTCTGATTTCAGAAGAAAAGGAAAGTGCACTGTGTAGGGACTTCAACTCTTCTATTTAGGTGGTTTGTTTGGGGTTTTTGTTTGGTTGGGGCGGGGGGTTCTTCGTGCCTCTCCTCAGATTGTAACTTGGACAGGTAGAGGAATATAGATTAGTTTTGTACAGAGTGTAGGTTGAACCCCTAGCAAGAGACTATTTCTCCCCAGACATCTTCCACCAGCATGCTAACCGTTTTCTTATTTGTCTAGTGAGGATCCGTGGAGGGCTGCCAAAATGATCAAGGGCTACATGCAGCAACACAACATCCCCCAGAGGGAAGTGGTCGATGTCACAGGCCTGAATCAGTCACACCTTTCCCAGCATCTCAACAAGGGCACCCCTATGAAGACCCAGAAACGTGCTGCCCTGTACACCTGGTACGTCAGAAAGCAACGAGAGATCCTCCGACGTAAGTGCTTAAACCCTGCCTCTGCCTCAACTTGGAAAGAACTTTGTACTCAGTCTGACCCATGTGGGCTACCTTCTTCCCCTTGAACAAGAAGGCCTTTATGACCACTTGGCAGGTGGATTTGGCCTTTATAGTTAGTTGCTGCACATGGATTGGCTTGTGTCATTTTCTCCCCTCATAGCCCCTTGCTACTCAACCAGGTACTCTGAAGCCCTTCAGTGTGCAATGTATCTTGAATTTTTTGGTCCTTCTTCCCACTGTCCTTTTCTTTTTTTGAAACTAAGTAGGTAACAGAATGGAATATCTTCCACAAAGTAAACCAAGCATCTCCCCTTCATGCATGACCACAAGTCAGAGTTTCCAGACTGCTGGATAGCAGCAGACAATAATATCAATCACTATTGCTGTTATTTTCCTACCCTCTGGAATAGGAATTAAAAATGAAGGCATTTATATAGATAGATATATTTAGAACTCAATCCTGCTCTTTGACAGGAGATCCGGTATGACCCAGTCCTGAAGCAATTTAAAGTGCTTACTCACATTTACCAAGAGTAGTAGTAGAGTTTGGGACCTCAGCTGGTGGCCCTGTCCAATAAAGAAGCCGCTTCTGACTGAAGCAGGAGACAGTAAAAGTGTCTGCGTTTGGAACTCTGACCCATCAATTCTTGTCATTCCGCGTGCCATCCCAAAGTTTTCTTTCTGTCTCAAGATTTCTTTAATGATACTGAAAGGTTTTTGTTTTGATTGTTTTCTCTTCATTTGGAAGCATTACATGAATAAATTAGATGAAGCAAAGTGAGAACCGTTTGCTGCTTAGAGGAGAAGGCCCTTTACAGTATGGATTGACTCCAGCCTTGGCATTTAGCTCTTTAAGAATTTGTGTTCCTGACATGAAGCAATCCTCAAGTTCCTGAAAGACTGAGAAAATTCTCAGGAGCCTCCAACTCCAAAGGCCAGAGAACTCTTGGGACTTACCCAATCTCCCAGCTTGTACTGCATCTCTATATTCCCTGAGAGGCTGCTCAGAAAAGAGGGAAGGAAGGCAGGAAGGCCAGGTGGAATTTCTGAAAAGGCAGAAGTTCCAGAAAGATGCTCAGGATGCTTGAAAGGGACAGTTTACAAAAGCTGATGGATGTCAGAGTCTGCAAGAGACTTTCTTACTGTTGTTAAGCTTAAGAAGCATTCCTTCCTCTTGCAAATATCGTATGTGAACCTACTATCTGGCAAATACCATGCTAAGCTGTGGGATGCACAGGCCCTTTTCTTCAGGGCCTTACACTCCACTGAAGCAGTTGAGATGTTTGAGTAAACAACGACCGCTGCTTTCTAAGAGCTGTTATAAAGATACACAGAAGGAGCAGAAAGGAATTGCTAAATCACTTGGACACCTCATGGAAGGCTTCCTATAAGGGGTGACATTTGAGGCCAGTTTTAAAGTATGAATACAAGTTACACTAGCATGGAATAAAAATTAGGAAGAGAGATACATAAAACAGAAACAAGAGAATGGGATGTGTGGAAGGAGAAAGGGAGGGGGAGAATAAAAAAAAGATGATACATGAAAACTACAAGGAATAAATGGTAGTATTCATGGGCCTGTCTATACATAGAACCTGCCTGTTTGAGCCAGGTTCCAAGCCTAGAAAGAGGCTGCTGAAGCCAGCTTCTCCCAATGAACTTTTATGAGCAATGAACATTTTCTGTCCCATTCCCACTCTTGATTAATCTAAAAGGAAGTGGAGGACATGTGAGAATCTAGTTCTTCAAGCATTGAGAGGTGAGAGCCAAGCCCCTAAGATCAGTAGGTCCTGGATGCTGCTGAGTACCTGTAGGCAAATCCCCTGGCTGATCCAGGCATACACTGGGTTTATAGACCTTGCAGGCTGCTGCCTCCCCAAAGGGCAGGTGAGACACTAGGGCAGCTGCCTCACTGTGGGATGGCTGGGTGTTTCACACCCACCACAAAGCTTCAGGGATGAGTTTTGTTACCTCCACAGAAATCAGGTTTGGGGAGTTTGAGGGTGTACTGTTTTGGGGTTTTTTTTTTCAGAGATGATTCAGAAGCTGGTAGTTAGGAGCCTTAGAGTCTACAGGCTGAGTTCACACCCTAGCTCCTGCCGCAAGCCTATGTGACTTTGGGCAAGTTATGTGACCATTCTGAACTTCAGTTTCTTCCTTGTAAAATGAAAATAATACTTTTCACATGGAGAGGCTGTGAGAGTTGTATAAAGGGATTCATTTAGAGGACGTTGAGCAAAACCTCACCATAGTAATGGTTCATTACATGTTAACTGCTATGACATCTGTTTCCTTCAAATGAAAAATTCAAATTGACTACAGGTCCTTGGTTTTATTACTCATGACCTCCCTGTAGGTCCCCCAGGGAGGAGAGAAGATATTGAGCAGGGAGCTTCTTTCTCTCCTTTGATTGTCCCTCAAGTAACTGCATATGGAGAGCTGCTCTGCAGACCAAATAATGTAAGAGGTGTGCAGGCATGACCATCAGAGGAATCTGGGTCACCATCACCATCATTCTCCTGACTAGCGGCTAATGTTCTTTAAGACTGTTTAGCGCCCCCTAGGCTTTCAGAAATTCTCATTCCACAGGTAAGAAGCTGAGTGACCAATGAGTTAAACAATTTGTCTGGGGCCCCTCATTGTCCCAAACAGTCAATGATTTCCTTTTAGAAGTTTAGCAGAGACTATTTGAAATCTCCAAAGCCTTCAAGTGGCCTGAGAATCATCCAAAGTCATTGGGGCCCAAATAAAAGGCTGCAGTGAGAAGTGCAGTCCATCACCCAGGAAGACTGCGCAGTAACTTGGCCGGTTAGCCCTTGGTTAAACACAGCCCCGCCTTGCCTGCATCTGAGATCCTACATCCCAGGCTGGTTAGGACCCTACTGCGTCCTTCTGATGCAACCAAAGTGGATATAGGTCCTTAGATAAGTAAGGATTTATGTGTCCTTGCTCAGCAGGGTGCTTGGCCTCTATGTTTATTCATCTGTAAAATGAAATTAATCACCCCTAATGAACCCTGCTTCGTGCGGTTGTGAGAAAGTGGACAACAAAGCCCTCTTTTTTAAACAAAGTGACTATCCAATGTATTTAAACCATATAGGCTAAGACATCACCACTGGGCCAAGGTGTCATTTTTCTTTCATTCATTTGATCAAAATGGATTTAAGGGTCCTGGAAAGTGGACAGACAGGGAGCATCATTCCTTCTACATGTGTCATACTCCAACTCATCCATTGCCATTTCTAGAATGGTCTTATGTTTCAGTTTCTGCACTTGCCATCCTCCTTGTGGGTGGCCTACTAAAACTTCCTGCTTGGGCTGTCTCCCTCATACACATACCCACGTACAAATACATATCATTACCTTTGAAATTACACTTGATATCTAAAGAGCATCTTCTCTTTCTAATACAAAGCTCCAGGTATACTTATTTCACAGCATTATTTAAAAGGTTTTGGGCTTTACATTTTTCTAAGAACCTAACGTTAGAATGCAGATGCCTAGGATATATGAGCAGAAAGAAAGGGTGGGAAGAGCTATTTACAGTCACTCTCTGAATATGTTGTGTAAGAGAAAACTGCACCTTAGAAAAGTGTTTCTCTTGGCCTGAGACTTGGTGGAATTCACTCCCTTGTCATCAAAATACAAGCATTCAGAATTGAGAGTGTTGCTTCATGTCTGAGGGCCAGTGAGTCAAGGAAAGAAAAATAATTTTCTCAAAACAATGGCTGGCTACATTTGAGTTCCTTGAAAGAAAGGAATAAGGTGGCTTTGCTGGAGCACTGAGGTAGGCAATGGGGGTGGGGGCTCACACAAGGACTCCCCGCTGTGGCTCCACACACATTCATGGCAGTTTACAAAGCTTAGGAGAAAGGAATCAGGGGGTCTTTGTCCGTCTGTTTATCTGTCTGTCTGTCTGCCAAGTGAAGGCTACAGGCCCTATCAAATCTACCCCTTTCTCTTTTCAGAGTTCAACCAGACAGTCCAGAGTTCTGGAAATATGACAGACAAAAGCAGTCAGGATCAGCTGCTGTTTCTCTTTCCAGAGTTCAGTCAACAGAGCCAGGGGCCTGGGCAGTCCGATGATGCCTGCTCTGAGCCCACCAACAAGAAGATGCGCCGCAACCGGTTCAAATGGGGGCCCGCATCCCAGCAAATCTTGTACCAGGCCTACGACCGGCAAAAGAACCCCAGCAAGGAAGAGAGGGAGGCCTTAGTGGAAGAGTGCAACAGGTAACAACACCAGCAGCTTGCCTGAGCAGGCAGGCAAGCACATGGACCCAAGATCCACCCCTTCAGTCCTGGGATGTTGAGACAGTGGTTATCCAGATGTGGCTAAATTGGAATTTTCCAAAGCATGTTGCACAGAACCCCAGTTTCGATTTATTGATAAATAAGTTTGACAAACATCATATGGCTACTTCTTAGGGAGTCACAATACCCAGTAATATATTACCAGTGCTGAGAAGTCCTACAGTCAAGAAACTCACAGAGCTTTGATGGTTGTTAACCACAAAATCTTTCTTCTTTGGAATACTCACTATCATCCCCAGAATTATTATTCTAAGAAAGATACTTTGGAGAATTCTGGTACAAAATGTGATGACTGGCGAAGTAAATATCATATCATTAACCCCCATACAGGCCCGGAGAAAACCATTCTGTAGCCATAGATTGTGGCTCTGGCCTCTACCAGTTGTCTATCCATTAGTCCAAAAGAAAACTATAGGAAAGTGAGAATTAGTTGGATGTGTTCAGTCTACTTTGTCCATATCAATTCAGTAGAGATCTTTTTTTTTTTTTTGGTACCAGAGATCGAACTCAGGTCCTTGTGCTTGGGCAGCAGGCAGCGAAACTACTGAGCTAAATCCCCGGCCCAAGTAGAGATCTTTTAGTAACTGAATAACTATATGTCATTATAAAGAAAGAACTACTGGAAATCTTTAGGATTTTTGTTTCATTCCTGTCTGATCTGTCCTGACTCCAATATTGACTCTCGAACAGACCTGCTCTTTACTGTGGCTGAGGCTTGTGGACCTCTTTCTCTGTCTCTGGAATGGCTTTGGGAGTGGACCAGTGTGGTCAGGGAGGCCAGGCTGAGAGGCAAATCAATCTGTCTGTGCACGCACGGGGTCCTCGGGCTGTGCCCTGTCTCTTGTTAATGAGAATTCCCCTCAACATCTAGTTATGCCTCAGGATATCTCTCACACCTGAGTTTGTGGTTTCATCAACACGATTAAAACAAGAGACAAGCCATCTAGGGGTGCCTTCCTTTATGTCCCACCCAGCCTGTCCTTGGCAGGGCGCTCCTGAGTCTCTAAAAAGAACCTAGCTTCCCTGGTACCCTTTTGGGGTTTCAAAACCTTGAAAACCCAGAAGTTCTCTCTTGGTGCTTGGAAGGCACCAGACACAGCCAGCAAAAGACTTGGTCTTTTGTGTGGTGGGAAGAATGGCAAAAATAAGAAGGTATCAGGATGTCCTGTTGTCTGGACTCTCTCCCTGGACTGCCTGTCCCTGGTGTGCTCTCTTCTCATCAGAAGTCACACCAGAGGGCTGTCTCTTGCCTTGCAGTACAGCATAGCCTGCTCTGCGCTTATGCTGAGGCCTCCCCCAGTCTTCATCAGATAACTACATAGATTGTTTTTTTCTCAAGCTAGGCCTTCCTCCGGCCCCCTACTCAACTCGTAGCCTATGCACACTCTTAACCAAGACTAGTATGACTGTATTTGGGGCCAACCACTAGCAAACCCCCCAGCCATCGTCACTCATCATCTCTCTTCTGTCTGTTCCAGGGCAGAATGTTTGCAACGAGGAGTTTCCCCCTCCAAAGCCCACGGGCTGGGATCCAACTTGGTCACTGAGGTCCGTGTCTACAATTGGTTTGCAAACCGGAGAAAGGAGGAGGCGTTCCGGCAGAAGCTGGCCATGGACGCCTATAGCTCCAATCAGACACACACCCTGAACCCCCTGCTTGCCCATGGCTCCCCCCACCACCAGCCCAGTGCCTCGCCTCCAAATAAGCTGTCAGGTAAGCAGGGTCTGGGCCTCACTGTCTCAGACCTGACCATTCTAGTTTTTCCCACCGGTCTCATTTGGTCTAAGATTTTTTAGAAGAGCAATGGCGGGCTGGGGATTTAGCTCAGTGGTTCCACTGAGTTCGATCCCTGGTACCAAAAACAAACGAAAAAAAGAGCAATGGCTTTGAGATCGCCCTTGGGTTGGTCTCCTATGGCCAGAATATTCTCATAAAAATAATATGTGGCTCTGATCAAGTTTCCTCCAGTTCCTTGTTCAACCATTGGATGTAAGGGATTACTTGACCCTCAGGGAGGCTTTTGCTCTATTCTCTGACCTTGCCTTTCCTGTCAGATTATCCACCAAGAAGCTGCCTTGTCCAAGCTGCAGGCAGAGAGGTTCGGGGTGCCTCATCAGTCATTGAGATGAGGAACGGCACCCTGGCCACCCTTTGCCATCCTTGGGCATGTCCTACCCCAGCACTCTCTCCAACTCCAGCAAAAGTCCAGTGGCTTTAGAGAAGAGCCATTCTAGTGGCCTTGTACTTGTTGGCTTCTGTGTTCCATCATGGCTAGGGTAGGGTTGATCACTTGGTTGCTTGCAACCTTTGCAATGATTAGCTGGCCAAAACTGATTGAGTTCTTACTGTGTACTAGCCCTGGCATGGATCAGAATGTCTCTACTGCAGGGTTTAAATCTGTCAGGATGAAATCCTACATCCTCATAGTGGGAAAGCACCCCATATGCTGAGTGCTGTGTGGCCACAGGCTGGGGTCGGGTACTTCTGCAGTCTACTTCTTCCAAGCAAATGATTTTCCAGAGTTAGTGTGCTTTACTGGGATGTGTTTGGTGCCCATGTGAACAAAGGATGGCACAGCCTCTTACTCTGGGGAAAGGATTACAAAGAAATTAAACCACTGTTATTCTGGGGTGGTTCTGAAATCCGTTCTCCTTGCCTGTTTTGTTGCCCTTCTGATGGGAAAGGGCTGGGAACTGGGACCTGACCCAAGTGTTGAGGTGACCTGTGTCACCAGGACAAGCTCAGAGCCAACAGTGGGGCAGTATACAAGTGTTTGTTCTAAACTTGCTGTGCCCATAGCATGGCCTCTTCCATGGTCTCTGGGAGCCTGATAGTCCCCTGGGCTGTAGTTTCTGTGGGTTCTGCTTCCATAGAAAGGAAAGTCTCAGCCACATGGGAAGAAAGTTTGGGTAATTCTTGAAAAGCAGAGAAACCCCGGGCCAGTGCTGGCCTGATCACAGAGTAACTTTTTCCCTCTATGGTAATTCAAAGCAAGGCCCAGAGGACAGCAGTAGATGGTGTGTGGCCAGCACTGAACAAGACTGAAACACTTGCCCACCATAGCTATCTTCTTGTTATCCTCAGAGCTGAGCTGGGAGCTGCAGGGGGTGTGGCTGGGGCAAGGGGCATTGTTGAGAAGACAATAGCCATTGTAGCGAGACCTGTGATCTCCACACCAAAGTCAGGGAGCCTGCGGGCCAAACAAAGGCCCAGCAGCTTTCTGACAAGCTGGGGTTGTGCTGAGGTCACCACAGGGTCATTAGCTTCGGCTTTCTGTCTCTTGAAATACAGAAAGCTGGGTCTGGAGAGACAGGGACAGGTACTGGAAACAGGGTAGAGATGGGGCCAAGAAATGCAGCCTGGATATGGCTCACATGGGGCTCTGAGAAGGACACATCCCACTGGGAATGGACTTTCTGGGGGTACTCCCAGAAGTCTGGACTTTTTAAAAAATCATGGAATGATAGGACTCAGGATTCAGAAAAAGAAACTGAGGCCCCGAAAGAGGTAGTGATTTGGTGAAGCTACACAGAGCAACGGCAGCAAACAAGGACTAGGTCTCAGGTCTGCTGTTGCTGAGGCCATACTTTCCCACAATGCAAACATGCATTTAGTACTTACCAAATCCTGGCAATACACTGGGAACACACAGCCCTACCTCCTCAAAGCTCATTGTCTCATAAGGAAGATACTGCGCCAGCATGGAGTCTCTAGAATCAGCTGGGAATCGAGTTTATCTTTGGGGGCTTAGTGGGTCTTTCTAGGGAGGGAAAGACTACTGCTATTTCTAGAGCAGCACTTAGCGGGTGCTGTGTATATGTGCAATGGCTGGTTCTGCTCTGCCTTAATTTTCACTTAGAGCTATGAAGGCAATCCTTGTCCCAAGCCAAGGAATATAATTCTCTGCATAAAATTTTGAATCTTCGTTCAAGCCAGCCAGGGGATAGTATGGCTAATTCACATAACTCCCCTGAGTTTCCTGTCTATAAAATGGAACAATTATAGTACCTGCCTCACAGGGTGCATGTGAGGGTTAAATGGGTGAATGTGTAAACACCACCTTTCCCAACAAACTGCACCGTTATCGTCATCATTGCTCATAGTATTACAGCGGCCTAAGCCAGTGGCAATGGAAAGAATGGCAAGCAGCAGAAATGTATTTTCTTTATAATTTTCACATACTAGGGCTTTGTTTCTAAGAGGCCATAAGATGTGTTGTGGCCCTGGGACAGTGCTGGAGTCCAGGGTGCAGGATCCTGGGATCAGAGCCCTCTGTCCCTGTTTCAGGTTGTGGTAAGGATATGTGGGCTGTGACGGGACTCCAAGGTAATGTACCCAGGACTAGGCAGTTGGCAAACTGGAGCTCAGCACTCAAGGAAGGATCTGGGCTCAAGAACTCCATAGTCACTTCCCACTATGGTGCCACAGCCATGTGGTCTCTAACCAGGCCTCAAGCACAACTGAATGCAGGATACAAAAAGAGCTTCGTGTTGCCGAGGAGAAACCAACATCCAGAGTCAGCAGTAACAATCTCTGAGACTGAGCACTAATCCCCACACCCCCACTTTCCAGCCACTCTCCTCTCAATTCCCAGCACCTGAGCCAAGAGGGCTGGCAGCACCTGAGAGATGAATTTTCCTGGAGAGGCAGAGCATCCTTTCTCTTACTGAGCCCCTTCCTTCCCAGCCACGCTTACTGTGTTGTGGCCTGCTTGCCCACGATGACCACAGTGTGACCCTGGTCCTGGAATGTCCAGCACAATAGGGGTGGCAGGAGGAGCACTTTGCCTCTGTCAGCGGCTGATTGGTTACAAGGTGCCCTACAAACACATTGTCAGCAGAATCAGCTGTTTTCAGCATTGCCCCTTCTCAGCTTTACAATCACGCACCAGCATGCAGCCAGAGGTTGTCATGGCTTTGTCTCCCTTATGCATGCTTAATTGACAATTAAACTGGGGCTTTGAACCAGCCTGGCTGCCGCTGATGAGCCTTCATCTTTCCAGTGAGTGTCACAGGGGCACCCTTTGTCTGTTCTTCTTGGGGGCTTGAAGTTACTGTAGCAGGCTGTAGGCAGCCATTTATCTTCAGCCTGCAAGGCCTTTATTTGCCCCCCTCCCCATTCCCGCTCTCGCCAGCAGGAGCTGTCCCTGGTTATAGGCTCTGTGACAGCCCCTTCGGAGGCCATTGAGCAGGTCCGGAGTGATGGCCTCTACCTCCATTCTGGAGCTGACTCAAGAGAGAGGCCCCCAAAAGGTCAGAGGGCAGGGCTGAGGCGAGAAAAAGGACCAGTTGGAGACTGGTGCTCATATTGATTGGCTGGAGGAGGAGGAGGAAGTTGGCATGGGATGGAAGCTGGGCTAGCCTTCACCCAAGCCACTGTATGTGCTGCATGATCTGGGGTGGCCTTGCTCACTATACACTTTGCTCCAGTCCCCAGCTAAGTCACCAGGCCACTTCCCCAAGAGGAAAGGGAGGGACAAAAAGATTTCATCAGGGCCTGGGATTTAGCTCAGTGGTTTCACCGCCTGCTGTGCAAAAGCAAAGACCCAAGTTCGATCCCCGGTACCAAAAAAAAAAAAAAAAGTAACAAAAAGATTTCATCAGTCTTCACTCTCCCACACATCACATCCTCACTTCTGCATCACCTTTTGGGAAGGAAATGTAGACTTACTGTCCTGGAAAGAGAGACATAGGAAGAAGACACCTCTCCACAGCCTGGATCCTGAGATCCTGGGGATCCTGAGCCTCAGTCTCTTTCCCTCAGAGGGGACCCTGTTTCTGTGGCTGATCTCCTTTATCCCTTTGAAATCTATTCCTCCCTTTCCCAGCTCAGCAAACTTGACTTCCCTGACTTGAGATCAGAGCTTGAAAAACAGAGGATCCTGCCTCCTGCTTTTTCCTTGTCCTCCTTCACACCACTTCCCCAGTGGCCTGCAGAAATCTAATCCCAGGTCTTCGACAAACCAAAATCTTGACCAGGGACCTTTGTGGACACTGTTGTTCTCCTTGACATGGAAATCCGTAGGACCAAAGGAAACCTCAAAAGTGCCCAGTGGCAATATAGTGACTAACAGTGAAGAATTATAACATCTGGCATTGACTGAGCACTTCCTGGGTACAAGCCCTGGCTGAGCATCTAAATGCATCCTCCCATTTAATTTCTGCAACAACCTCAGGAGGGTAGAAACCATTGTACTGATATCCTCCTTTTACAATCAAGGGAAGGGAGATGTTTAGAATGTAAGTCATTTTCCCAAGTCTGCAGTTTATAAGTCATGGAAATAGATTTTGCGCTGTTACACACTGTCCATCTCTCTTTTTTCTATGCAGATGCTAAAACTTTTTCAGGCATGGAAACTTGCACATGCGCACACACATACTCCACAATACTCCTGCAGCCCTTTTCTCTCCCACACTCCTGCTGTTCCCCTCTGAATGACAGAGGCTTTAGGAAAGCATGGCCAAAGAGGTGGAGTAAGGCTGGGTAGTTAGACTGTTTCCTCCTTACCCACTGCCCCTGACCAAGGTGGATTCTGTGGGAAGAAATCAAAGCCCCCTCTTCTACTACCCATCCCCATCCGTGCCTGTGGGGGATTTGAACTGCCCTTGCATTCTGCCCTGTCTGGGGCACTAAATGCCTTAACAACTTAATGGGGGCTCTGAGACAGTGCAGGCACCTCAGCTCACCTCTGGGAGCTCAGCCCCCTCCTGACA